AAAAAAAAAAAAAAAAATCTGAGGCCAGGCACAGTGACTCAGGCCTGTAATCCTAGCACTCTGGGAGCCTGAGGCAGGTGGACTGCTTGAGCTCAGGAATTTGAGACCTGCCTGAGCAAAAATGAGACCTCTTCTCTACTAAAAATAGAAAAACCAGCCTGGCATTGTAGCGGGTGCATGTAGTCTCAACTACTAGGGAGGCTGAGGCAAGAGGATCTCTTTAGCACAGGAGTTTGAATTTGCTGTGAGCCATGATGACACTATTATTTACAGCATGTTGTACATAAACTAGAAAATCATACATTATTTTAACAAGCTTATGGTCATACTGCAAGCTACTCAGCCAATAAGCCACAAACCCAGAATAGAGGGAGGCCCACATCAACTGCAGGACTGAGGACATGAGCTGAGTCCCACTTACTCCAGAGGCCATCTCAGGCCAATGCACATGGACGACCCCCCAGGCTTGAAGGCATCTGAACTGACAGAGGGAGAAATACAAGGCATTAGTCATTTTAGCATTTTCTATTAAGTTGAAGAATACTGCTCAGTGGTTCAGATCACAGTGTAACCTGCCCTCCCAAGAACTGGTGGTACACAGGTGCCAGTGTACCCACTGTGTACCTGCCATCCTCCTTGCTGCTGCGGACACAGCAGGAACTCCATGGAAGAAGCTTTAGGACTTGGAATCAGGAAAGCACCCTGAATACCTATAGCTATATATACTCAACTTTAAAATGTCTTGCCTAAACATGAGCCTGGGCTGGGCATGGTGGCCTGTGTCTGTAGTCCCAGCACACTGGGAGGCCAAGGTGGGATGATTGCATAAGCCCAGCAGTTTAAGGCTACAGTGAACTGCGATGACACCACATCACTCTAACCTAGCCAGGCAACAGAGTGAGATTGTCTCAGGAAAAAACCAAAAATTACAGCAAAAGGGTGGTAAATTCTTCCTTTCCTAAATTTCTTCATTAGCATACTTGTTTTTTTCTTTTTGAGAGAGAGTCTCAAGCTGTCACCCTGGGTAGAGTGTCGTGGCATCACAGCTCACAGCAACCTCCAATACCTGTGCTTAAGTGATTTTCTTGCCTTAGCCTCCCAAGTAGCTGGGACCACAGGGGCCCACCACAATACCCAGCTATTTTGAGGTAATAGTTGTCATCGTTTGGCAGGTGCAGGCTGGACTCAGACCTGCCAACTCTGGTGCATGTGCCTGGTACCTTAGCAGCTTGAGCTACAGGCGCCGAGCCATGGGTATATTTTATTTTTTTAGAGACAGAGTCTCACTTTGTTGCCCTCAGTAGAGTGCTGTAGCGTCACAGCTCACAGCAACTTCCAGCTCTTGGGCTTAGGCAATTCTCTTGCCTCAGCCTCCCAGGGAGCTGGGACTACAGGCGCATGCCACAGGCCCAGCAATTTTTTTATTGCAGTTTGGCCGGGGCTGGGTTTGGCCCCCTCAGTATATGGGGCTGGTGCCCTACTTACTGAAACACAGGCACCACCATGCATACTTATTTTAAAAGTCGTTTACTGTGGTGTACTTGGGACCACCTTCATGTGAACAGAGATGTTACTATAGAGGTGCTCTGCAACCTGAACAAAGAAGTGGACTTCATCAAAAACCAGGACATGGAGTCCGTCACTATATTCCATATTTCGTGGCAACTCTCTTCCCAATACCTGGTTTTTCAAGGCTAATAGAAGAGGTTCAACTTCTGCTCCTACTCTTCCCCCAACTGGGGCCAGGCTGCCGGCAGGTGCTGGAATGACCAGCCTCCACACACCAGCATCCTGGTGTCATAGATGGCCTGGCTACAACACAGTCCCCTAGATAGCTAGGGAGGGACTCCAGTGAGTAGCAGGCCTCTAACACAAAGTCTCATCCTCACCACCAGCAAAAACATGTGGCAGTGATGCTGCTTTTATGAAGCTGGACAGTGGCCCTAGAAAGTGGCCTTGGCCAGGTTCTGGAGCCACAAGGACTAATTGAGTCCCCTCCTGGGGGACTGTGGATAGGATGAATGAGGTGGCACAGGTAGTACCTGCCAATATCTATGCCCTGGGCTGGAGAGGACCATGTCAGGCCCAGTGCCAAGACAGAAGTGAAGACGCTGCTGGTTATGGTGGCAAAAAGTTTATCAAGAGTGGAAAACTTGGCTCGGCGCCTGTGGCTCAAGCGGCTAAGGCGCCAGCCACATACACCTAAGATGGCGGGTTCGAATCCCCAGCCCGGGCCCTCCAAACAACAATGACGGCTGCAACCCAAAAATGGCCAGGCGTTGTGGCGGGCGCCTGTAGTCCCAGCTACTTGGGAGGCTGAGGCAGGAGACTCGCT